CGAGCTGACTGGATGACGGTCTTCAACAGGGGAACAGCACTTAAAAGCTCTTTAAATGAACAAATGCAGACAAAACCCCCAGAGGTCAAAGATCAACTCCCAGTGATCCCAAGCCAAGTAGAAATACTGAAACATATGGCCTGCATGACATTAAGGGCGTACTCACACTGTGTACAGTTGCCTTGAACTGGGCCGAAGCACACTTGTCCCCCCCTTCTATCTCCCCCGACGAAAAGCACTCACATCGCATACGGGTCTGAGCATGCTTATGTCCTTGATGATACGCTGTTCAGTTTAAGAAGTGCGCTCGCTCAGAACAGAGGAGATTTCTTTAAATCCTTATATTCTTTTAGTCTTTTGATATGCAGTGAGATGGAGTGAAATATTTTGCCAAACAGATTAGCCACTTTTGGCGCTCATAAGGAGGTATTAGGAGGTTTTGACGCTCATTAGGTGTTTAGGACTAAACTGTTTATAACTGCTGAAACAAACTAAAAAAAAGTTCATTTTAGTCAGATTTTATTTGAAATGACATCATTTGAGTTATTATTTTCAATTTAATTTGAGGTATAACACCGCCCTCTAGGGGATTTGCCAACTAAAACGTGCAACGAAACGTACTCAGAGCATCGTATTTTACTTTTTGCGAAAATACTTATAGGCTCTAATTTCCAGTGAGCCTGGACTAAAGATTGTTCTGATAAAATGATTTATATGCGCTGTAATTTTGTGAATTTGAACAGCATTGCGATTTGAAACTTTGTGCAGGTGAACATTTATTAACCACAGCATTAACAGACTTTTCCAATACAATGATAAAACAACCATCGTTTTAAATCTGCATCATGCTTAAGTTGCATCATGAATGTGAACAGATGGATGTACTGCAAGTTTCCCCATCTCCCTATACAAAACTGTAGTAACCGGGTCCATTAAAAGCCGAAGGGAGTCGCTACAATGTGACCATTTAAGGATTTTTAAATGTAGGGTTGTTAAATAAATCAGGATCTCTCAAGGGAAGGAAGGGAAACATTTTGGCTCCGTCCACCTCAGCCGGAGCAGTTAAGAAAACAGACGCTCTGAGGGAACGCTTCAAACAGAAGATCAGCCTCAGATACTTATGACGGCAACACAATCGCTGCATTACATAATCTGAATGAAAGACCCTGATTTGTTTGGAGGATTGTGTTTTTTAAGAGCGTATAAGATGGTCCAGATGTTGACCTGGCCCTTTATATCACTGATCGAGAGCAGGAAAGACAGTATAATGTGACACAAAGTGACTGAATCTTGAACATGTGAATGATACTAACTAAACTTTCTGTACTTCAAGGCATTCTATTCAGCTTTTAAAGAAATTTTTTTTACAAATAATAATTAGTTCGTATATGACAGCAATATGCTGGTAAAATGTGCATTTCCTGTGAATATGTGAGAGATTTGTTTTTCTATTTGCTGTTGTAAATGTCATGTTGAGATGCTTAATGTACATGAATGCATGATGCAATAGACATACAGTTAAGTTTAACCGTGAATTACACAAGCTTCTCCTAAAAGATAATAAGAAGATGTATAAGAGGCATCATTGTGGGGCAAAAAAATATATATTTTTCAGCTTTTATTTACATTATTTAATATTCAAATTGTCCGAATTTGCCAGGCGTATTAATAATTTCGGGCTTGACTGCATTTTTTTTTGCAATAAAACATAAGTATAAGTTCAACAGTCTTCGCTATAAAAATTTGATGTATGTGTATATGAAATGTGAATATACAAAATGTGAAAATATCAGTTTTTTTTATAATGTATTTATTTTATTTACTCAAGTACTTAATATATATATATATATATATATAACTTTAGTGCCTTTGCTGGCCGAGTGTCTAAATGTACCACCAGTGATGATATACAGCCATAATCGCACTGCTACTCGTGTGATATTGCGTTTATACAACCGTTCGACGGCATAATCATATAGAAAAAACATCACAGTACTGTATGCTCATCAATATACAGTTACAGTACTGTACATTTATATAAAAAACGTGATCCTCAATGTAAACATAAAAAAAAAAAAAAAAAAAAAACTTATTAAACAGTTGAACGAAACCAATATCCAAAGTTTCACGGTCACACACTGATCCGAGAAAAACATATTACAGACAAACATCCTGAAGGTTTGCTGAAGCGTCTCAGTAATAACCCTGTATAAGCACTTGAAGTGAATTTAAATCAGCTTTAGCAGTGACCCATACACAGCACAGAGTCTCTTCTTAGCACCTATTGAACGCTCTGTAAACTTCCTTAAAAAGAAACAAGGCCTCTCACATGCACAGAAAGAAGGGAACTTCAGTTTTAGAAGTGGCTCGTCTTCCTGTCCAGGAAGGAAGGTATTAACTAGAAGGCCAAGTAGCTAAATATCTTCTAAACCTATACTTTTCACCATAGGAGAGAGTTCAGCAGGCCACAGGTCACACACACTGAAGGCTGATGTGAAATGAAAGATAGTTAGTCCAGATTTGTGTGTATTCTGCTCTTTTCCACTGTTCTCTATTAGGCTGGTATACCTTAACAATGCACTGGTTTTCATTTTTTGCTCATAAAAAGTGTCTCGGAAACCTATTAGTCATGGATTTTGTGTTTTTAAGTAATAATGTTTTAATAATGTTGCAATACACACCTTGCAATACAGTAGATACACCCAAATAAACCATACACTGGTAAAATCCGTCTGTAGCCATTATTTATAGCAGACAAAACAGCAGCACTTTCTGTTGCTCTTGCACCTTTTCTGTTAAAGCCTATTTGTCACTGCAGGAGAAATCTGTTGGGGGATATGCATGTATGTGTTTTAGCTTTACAGAGGCAATCAGCACATTGACGAACATTAAATCTGTAAAAGTAACCTGATTTAGATTACATATTTTATTAGTAAGAAAACATTTATATAGTTTATTGTAAGCAGACCCCAATTTATATACTGTATTTTTTATTAAGTTACATTATTTTTTCTACTTATATTTCAGTTTATTTTACTTATTTGTTATTATTCATTTTATTTAAAACACATGAAATTCAACAAAATTTTAATTGATTTATTTTATCATTTAATTATTCAAATATTAGTTGTTTACTTTTTTAGCTTAATTATTTAGTTAATATTCTGATATTTTACATTATTTGATTTTTTAATTGATGTGTTAATTTACATTCATTATTTTTTTATTTTACTAATTAAATTATTCATTATTTTTCTTTTTATTATTTTAAAAAGCTATTCTTTACCCAATACTTCCAATAATACCTATATATAATATAAGAATGTAAAAAACAGATTTTTATTAGATACGTTATTTTTTATTTTGTTTTTACTTATTTTTATTCATTTTATTTTTATATAAAAAAATAAAATTCAACAATATTTGTTTTATTATTTTTAACATTATTTATTCAAATATGAGTTGTATAGGTTATAATTATTAGTTAAATTATTTAGTTAATATTCTGATATTTTACATTATTTTACTGCATTATTTAATTGCTATTTTATCTTCATTATTTTTTATTTTACTATTTAAATTATTCATAATTTCTTTGTTTTTGCTTTAAAAATGTTTTTTTTTTCTTCTACCAAATACTTCCATTAACACCCAATAATAAAAGAAGAAGCAATAGCTTATGGAAGTGATGTTGTGATCTTTTATCTTAAATAGTTTTTATTACTATTATTTATTCATTATTTAAAATGTTCATTTGTTTTTCTTTTTTAAAAACTTTTTTTTTTTTTTGCCAAACTGCTTTTCTCCACCCAATACTACCAATAACACTAAATAATAAAGGAAGTGTCATAACTAATTGCCTATGGAGGTGATGCTGTTGATGCACAAATTCCCAATATAATCCAACAATCAATTCATAAATTCTAAAGAATCATCAAAGAAACTACACAATAACTTAAACCAGAGGAAAACGGGGGCTTAAATACAAAATGTCATCATAAAGACAGTTGCGAGTAACAACTAAGTAGACCAACTACTAACTCATACAGGCACACCTGAAAAGAAAACCAAAAAACAGAAAATGAATGCGACGCATCATCTATACACACACGCATGAGAACGACACACACAGCACATTCTCTCTGAAAACAGAGAATCATCTCTCATGCTGCTAATTCACCTCTGGCTACGATCCCAAGAGAATAACACAAACATAAAACAGAAATAAACCACCCGAGCAATTAAACCCAGCGCTGTTTTAGCTCACATAAGCTGTCCTAGATTTAAAAGAAGCAACTCAAACGCAATACCTTCAAGAAAGATAATTTACCTGAGATTTAAGCTTAGCAAAACAGGGCGTTAGCATAATTAGCAATAGTGGCTAACAAATTCCCACAACAGAAAAGACCAATGATAGACTTAATACAGCAAAATGAAAAGCCACATTTATAATCTTATTTTAGAGAACATCTGTCGGAAAATTCCTCCTGAAAGAGAATGTTTTCGGCTCATGTTGATGCCAGGTTTGATTACTGTTCCTAACGTCAGCCGCATACAACAAAACATATGCCAACACACTGATCTCAACACTTTAATTAAGGCATTTCCCACGTTATGTGAGGGGAAAGAAATGTAAACCATGCATTTACAAGTGGTAAAGAGGTCCATGTCAAAAAAAATAAATAAATAACAGCACCAAAACACACCAAACGCTTAAAGCAGACATCAGGAAACCACTACAATTTAAAGCTGCAGTCTGTTTGTTTTGCCTACAACTGCAATAGTTTGCGAATGATCATCTTTAGGTGGGATGTGGACCTGATGGCTCCTCAAGGATGAATCTAATTGTTATCTAAAAGTTTTTCTAGCTGTCAGTCACTGTACCACAGACCCTGAAACCCACTTCAAATCATTTTTAGCCACAAAAGAAGAAAAAGGTTACAGACTGCAGCTTTAAGTGTGGTGTAAACCAATCTGATATTGTCTTTGGTCTGTCCTACCTGTACTTGACCCTTGCCCATGATCTTGTCCACGATCTCGTTGTCGTCCTTGTTGAGTTTCGATTTGTCGTAACACTTCTCGTAGCACAAGATGCGCAGACACTGTGAGCCCTCCAACTCGATTTCAAACTCCTAGAACGAGACAAAAGAAAGGGGAATCTTTTTAATATGGAGACCGGTCAGGTGAATCTTATTGTAATGTCTTATTATAAACTGGTAAAAAAGCTGACCTCGTTCCACTGTGGTTCTGTTGTGTCTCTGAACACACGTGTTTTGGCTTTGCTGACAAAGTAGCCGAAAGAGTCCACCTCCAGCGTACAGTACAGATCTGCACAACACAAGAAGACACATGTGAGAAAACCTACGTTTATTTAAAAAATAAAATATTTATTGCAGGACAAATGTTGCTGGACAAGCTTAAAAGCTGACATTCCTATCATATACAATAAACCTGATTTCTAGTTATTTTTACATATAATTATATATATATATAGGCGAGGCAGTGGCTCAGTAGGTAGTGCTGTCGCCTCAAAGCAAGAAGGTCGCTGGTTCGAACCTCAGCTCAGTTGGCGTTTCTGTGTGGAGTTTGCATGTTCTCCCTGCCTTTGCATGGGATTCCTCCGGGTGCTGTGGTTTCCCCCAACGTCCAAAGACATGCGGTACAGGTGAATTGGGTAAGCTAAATTGTCCATAGTGTATGAGTGTGTGTGTGAATGTGTGTGTGGATGTTTCCTAGAGATGGGTTGCGGCTGGAAGGGCATATGCTGTGTAAAAACTTGCTGGATAAGTTAGCGGTTTATTCTGCTGTGGCGACCCCGGTTTAATAAAGGGATTAAGCCGACAAGAAAATGAATGAATGAATATATATATATATATATATATATATATATAATTATATATAAAAAAAAATTTTGTACAAGTGGACAATTTCATGGCATCTATGAAATACTGATCTTAAAGGTGCTAATTATTTTGACTCTTCTAAAGCATAAAAATACCACAATATGCTTGCAGCTATTTAAGAAATATGCTATGTGAACATTCTTGTTTATCTGAAAAACAATGCTGAAGTCAGAAATTCTGCTTTGAAAATGTCTGTTACGTGCCAAAACGTCAGTCTTTGTTTTGGTTCTTTTAACCTGCTCAATGCCATTTTAGCCAATTATATATCAGTAATCTGGGTTGCATGATGGAAACCAGCATAATTTATACATTCATTCAGTTAGGACGGCTTTCAAAGCAAGCGTCCGTGACTGAAATGCAACCTCTGGTGGACAGTAGCAGACTCTAACATGAGACGCAGATTCAGAGTTTCACATGAGGTTATTGATTAGCAAATAACATAAATATTATGAACGTAAACATTAGGTGAGCAGGTTACATTGTAACACCGTGTCCTAACAACACACCAATTGATGACATTTGCAGAGATGAGCAATTGGGCTGTTTGCACCAGACGAAACACGACAGAAATTGAAATGCAACCATTAAGAAGCGCATAATAGTGCACTTACTGCACTCCAACGAAATAGTAAGATTTATAATCTAATACATATTAAAGCTCTTTAACGTTGTTAAATGTAGATGCTGAATCACTGATATGTGTTGGCTTGCACGGACTCATTGACTCTGAAGTTCAATTTCAAATAGTTTATTTTTATTTTCAAGATCTGAGCTGAACTATCTGCTGCTAATGGCAATAAATGTCGTGTAAAATAACATTCAAACTTGCATTATTACCATTTATCACTGCATAAAGCACATGAGGTGTAACTGAGGTTTTCTGTTGTTCAGCTCCAAGACATAGAAGCCGTTTCTAATATATCAATTCAAAATGTTGGTTAAAACAAAAACTTCCTTTTAATATGAAAAATTATTCCTTCTATTATGTGTCGCTGCTTTTATATAGAAGATGGTTTAAATCAGCATTTAGGCTCGATAGTCAGACTGGCTCCTGTTGGTCGTCAATCTGGCAACCTGCGCTTGCGCTTGTTTTGATCCAGGAGTGCAATGCCTAGTTCAACCACTGGGTGTCAAACTTACATACTGCACCTTTAACATAATTCAGTAATGTAATAAGTTGTTTTGATCTCTGTAGTAGTTGAGTTTGGGTATTGCGACGCAATATAAGATCATACTTTATAAGTGCTAATAAACAGTTCATATCTTAGTAATAAAAAGGTAATAAATAAAAGTGTTACCCAAAACTGTATTTAAATAGATAACACTAGACGTAATAAGCCACACGATTGTCAGTTGTTTTAAGCAGTTGTTCCTTTAGGTGTTATTATCTGAAATTCACCATTTTAACCAAGAGACATTCAACATAATGTATTTGTAGCCATGGGTGGGTTAATTGCTTAATGTGTATGATAATTTAGCACTTCAATAGAGCACATTTCAAGAAAGCATTGAGTGTGATTTATTTGTTGAAATCTGCGTTTATTAATGAAGCCGTGTACAGTGAGTGTAGCTTTATCTCTTGGTGTCAGCACTTAAAACGTTAATGATTTTTTCAACCCGGCTGCTCTGCCATCTATTATTAAATAAATCTATATGTGTCAATAATGACACACAATACAGAGGTGGATTCTCATACACAGAAACAGAGCATCTGTCTTGGGCTGCCCGTGAGTCTTTTTGCCTCCCATGCATGTGAGCGCACACACAAATACATGCACACATACAAAAACAAGAACTCACTTACTGTAAGTGCGCGCATACACACACACACAAATTTGCATCCTTGTTACCCACTAAAAACAATACACACACAAACATCATACACACTTTTTTTAAATGTACATACACACACATACACACACACACACACACACACACACACACACACACACACACACACACACAAAACATCAAAGACACATTTCCTTTAAATGTACACACACACACACACATACACACACACACACACACACACAAACAAACACACAAACCAAAAATGTACACACACACACACACACACACACACACAACAAATTTATGTTTTTGTAAACCACCAAAAAATACACAAACACACAACACCAAACCGCACACACACACACACACACACACACACACACACACACACACACACACACACACACACACACACACACATACACACACTGTGACTACTGATGACTATTTTCTCTCAATGCAATCTACTAATCTACTAATTGTTTATAATGAATGTCCTTATAATCATGTTTAACAACCTCACATAGGCCACAATATTGTACTGTAATTTTATCAAAAATGCCATATCAAAATGAAAACACATTAGCGTACACAAAACCTAACAGCAGATCAAGTTTATCTTATTGCTATAATGTGTGTGGGTCTCTCTGACAGTGTGATGGATTACATCTGGTGTGACCTCTGACCTCTGTGATGCGTGTATTGAGGAGACAGGAGAGAAATGAAGTGATGTTCAATTAGCATGGAGGTGGTGTTGTGGGGTTTGGGAGTTTGGCTTTAACATGAGCGTGTAGACGGTCAGGCTGCGGGAATAATTGACAGCCTGATGGTGATGTGTATGTTAATAATGTTGCTTTATGCTGTATCCATATGCATGCACATCAGCTTGTGTCGGCCTTCAGCCCAATGGTCATCTTAATGAGATGACAACACATAACCACCAGTGGGAATTTTAGTATTTTCTTTCGATATGGGGGCAGTGATATAATAGGGAATGGTTACGAGTAGGCACTAACGGAATTTGCACACGCAGAAATATGCAGATTTTTAGCCCATCATTGAGTTATTTACTTGTGTAACTGTGTAAATTTGCATTCATTCCGTTTTTAAACTAATTTCAGTAATATTATTGACAAATATAGTTTGTAAAGTAATATTTTCTGTCTTTTAGTAGATATATTATATAAGAGAGAGGCAGCACAGTGGCTCAGTGGTTAGCACTGTCACCTCACAGCAAGAAGGTCGCTGGTTTGAGACCCGGCTTGGCCAGTTGGCATTTCTGTGTGGAGTTTGCATGTTCTTCCCACATTGGTTTCCACCGGGTGCTCCGGTTTCCCCCGCATGTCAAAAGACATGTGCTATAGGTGAATTAGATAAACTAAATTGTTCGTAAAAAATAAAGTTGAATACTTTGCGGTTTCGCCTATTGCAGGTTTGTTTGTTTTTTTAAACTCCCACAAATAACAAGGGACCATTGTACTTTATAAAAAGCTTAACATAAAAATGCTTTAAATCATTGCAGCTATAGATACTGCAGAGTTGCTGAATGCTTGAGTCAGTTTGGCTGATGAACATGAAGACAGAGGTCAATCTCAATCCCAAATATGATCATTTTTATGTTAGAATTCTATACTAAAACAAAAAATAAAAAGCATGTAAAAGCAAATGAAATACATTTTGTAATACATTTTAATTTCTCATTAACAATTATTTATACAATGATTTAAAAAGATTTTTCACCATTAAGCCATCTAGAAGATATTTTTAAGAATGTTGGAAACTAGCCATTGCCATGCATAGCAGAAAAGAAAAGTTCTTTGGAAGTCAATGGTTACCCCTTTCCAACATTTTTCTAAATATCTTCCTTTAGCTTTACCAGAAAATAAGAAAACACTCATTTTGAACACGATTAGGTTCAGTAAATGATCATAGAATTGTTCTTTGTAAGTCAACTTTTAACAAGTCTTCAAAATACATTAGTCAACATTTGAAGTAGTCCTAAATCTTTTTATCAAAATTGTTCTAAAACTATTAAACAACACCAATTCTTGCCTTAGGACAATTTTAAAAAACATTTTTGATCCACTTCAAATGTTGACTACTGTATATGTAGTCTTTCACTGAATAATTGAATGAAATAAATCCATTAATATTATTTTTTTTTACTGGCTCAACTTTCCCTTTAGGTATAAAGTTAACTATACACTTATTAACTTTAATTACTGCTATTTCATTGAGTACATTTGTGGGTGCTGTACTACATTTCCCATCACTCTCTGGGGCAGTAAAAAATATCAAACAAAACGAAGCACAAATTACCCACCAAATGGACAGTATTGCCTCTATATTCTTTAAAAGCAGAGCTTAAAAGGCTTGTGCTGAGTTCTATGATCCCATTTTCCCTCACATTTCTCTTTTTACCTTTTCCGCAAATTCAAAATAAATAAAAAATCCATTCTTAAATGAAAAGAGCGTCCTTTCTCATTGAACCAAGCTGTCCTTCAAAACACACGTCAGGATTTCTGCACAGACAGCCCATTTTCTGGAGTTCTAATGGCCTCATATCTGTAAAGCTGAAATAAGGCCATCTCTTCTCATGGTCAGAGGAGGCTTTAGTTTTTAGCAGCACCA